TTTTGCGTGGTAAAGCATTTCTCATCATTTACTTTTAACCTTTTTGAGTTTCTCTATTTTAGTTCTTTCTCTTATAAGATATCACATAAGTGGAAATATGTTTATTGACCTCATCTGAGTATTTTTTCTTTCAGCAAAAAATTTTTCTTATAGTTGTTATAACTTTTATTTGTCATTTTGTTTTTTATTGTTTTATTGCCCCCCCACTTTCTCCTTTGTTTTCATTCTTTTGCTATTTTTTGCACTTATTTTTAAAAAGTATATCATCTGCAGTTTAAAAAAAAATTAGAGTTTTGTTTAATTAAAAATGAAGACATTACAGTTGGAAGTGCCAGACAGAATCAGGAGAGGAAAGAAACTGAAAATAAGCATAACACTATAAAGAAAACTTGGAAAGGTAAAACACTTCTAAATAAAAATATACACCTGCCCTGGTACCTGTTGCGTATATACATAATACCTGTGTTACACACATTTGTCCAATGAATGTTTTGGTAGCAGCACAGACCAGGCATTGATCCTTTTGTACACAGATAAAGAAGCACCATGAGCAGCACCACCATTCTATGATGATAGACCAAACTGCATGTGAATTAAATGAAAAATACATAATTTAGCTCACCCTAGAGCCAAGAGGTGTAAGGGAAGAGCTTTGCAAGAAAAATTGTTCCAGGACTACACTCTTAATCCAATACAAAAGTTCTAAAAACAAAACAAAAAAATGGTACTAAGGATGTCTACGCAAATATCGAATATGTCCTATCATGTGGCATATTGGTTAACATTGGGGAAATGAACCATATAAGCAAAGAGAGGGTATAATCTACAGTTTTGTTAATCAAAACGTTTTTTAATTTAATTTTCTCAACTACTCCAACTGTGAAATATAGACATCGTTCCCTTTTTATGGTTGAGAAACTTAAGTGGTAGATTAGTTTCATGAAGTCCAACTAGTAAGTGGTGGAGCTACAACTTAAAAAACAAGGGTTCCCCTGACTCCAAAGTATGTGCTTTTTGCCATTCCCATTTTGCTCCATCCCTCAAATCTTTCTAGGTTTTAAAAAGCGCTAGTGATGTGATCCAGGTTTTTTAACATGTAATTGATAATAATAGCTATTGTTTATTTCACAAATGCCTATAGTGTGTACTGGGTGCACTGTTGCCGTGTCCTACAATCATTCACATGGCATCCTTTACCATTCAAGAAACTGCTCGGACTTGGTTTAGTGTACTTTACATACTGTATAGTTTAGTCATCCTGCAATCATGTAGATAATATTCTAAAGTTCAAAAGGTTAAGTGATTTGCCCAAGGTCACAAAGTTTTTAAGTGGCTGAGACATTTCAAAGTAAAGATTTAAAGGCAGGACCATTGAAGAGATCCAAGATGGTGGTGGAGTAGGTGGAGGATATGCTAACCTCTTCCAAGGACCAAACTAGAATTACAACTAAATTATAGGAAAAATCATCCCGAAAAACCAACTGAGCACTTAACTGGAGAGAAGCCTTACAACCAGGGACTTACAGAAGAAACCCCAAGAATGGTAGGAAGTGTGGAGGTGCGAGAAGGCTAGCTGAGCTTCCATGGTTGGCAGCCGAAGTTTCAGAGTGATATTTTGGCAGCTGGGGTAAGGGAGTTCCCATTGAGAAGTGCAGAGTCTAAACCCCAAGCAGGGCTCCCCATCCTAGAGCACCAGAAACAGGAAAGGAGCCCAAATAACATCCAGCTATGAAAAGCAGTAGGGTTTCTGTCTGCCAGGGAGAAATGGCCAGAGATACAGAGAACCTCTTGAAGGGCCAAGACGCAAAATTTTGTTTGCACCCAGTTAACCCTGGGCTCCAGCAGAGGGAGGGCAGAGCAGACTAGAGCCACATGAGGAGAGTCCAGGGGTGGTGGCCCTGGGGAAAGAGCTGAAGTGTCAGCTGCCACGATCCCTATGCTGAGTCATTCCTCATACTGCAGAAGCCTTCATCTCTCAGGCAGAGCATTCCCCTCCTTGTGGCATCAGCCTGGCGAGAAGCAATAGCACCACCCGCAGGAATTACTCTGCCGCACCCTGTGGAGCTTAAATCAGGCTTCTGAGGAACACAGCTGGAAGCGTTTTCAGTGATCAAGCCTAACGGAAAGCCTGCAGGCTAAGTCGGGTCTCTGGGAGCTCTGAGACTTTAGCTGACCCTCTCCCGGGCACAGTGCTGATAAAAGCCGGCCTTAGTTCACAGATTGGTTCTTTTGGCATACACCCAGGCCCAGCAGAGGGAGCCACAAGCTGTGGCTCACTCATAGCTCCAAACAAGTTGGCCAGGGCCAGTCACAGGTAGTGTCCGACATAGGGCTGAACCAGAGTCTTTGCAGATCTACCTAATACATAGAAACACACACAAAGAAGCAGCCAAAATGGAAAGACAAAGAAACAGGCCCCAAATGGAAGAATGAGAATTCCCCAGAAGAACTAAATGAAATGGAGTCAAGCAGTTTATCAGATATAGAGTTTAGAGTAATGATTATAAAGATGCTCAACAGCATTAAAAAAGACATAGAAACCATAAAAAAAGGACCAGTCAGAAATAAAGAATGCAATATCTGAAATAAATATTATACTGGAAGGAATAAACGGTAGGTTTGATGAAGCAGAGGATTGAATCAGCAATTTGGAAGGCAAAAGAGAAAATAACACCCAACTAGAGCACCAAAAGAAAAAAGAACTTTAAAAATGAGGAGAGTTTAAGAAACTTTTAGGACAACATGAAGCATACCAACATCCACATCATGTGGATACCAGAAGGAGAAGAGAGTGAGCCAGTGATCAAGAACCCGTTTGAAGAAATAATGCCTGAAAACGGTCCTTACCTGGTGAAGGAAGAAGACATACAAGTCAAGGAAGCACATAGAGTTCCAAGCAAGATGGACCCAGGCAGGCCCATTCCAGATATATCATAATTAAAATGCTGAAGCTCAAAGACAAGAGAATATTAAAAGCCACTAGAGAAAAGCAGTTGGCTACCTGAAAGGGAGCATGGGATTCATCTGATTTCTCAGCATAAACATTTCAGGCCAGTAGGGATTGGCATGACATCTTCAAAGTGATGAAAAGCAAGGACCTACACCCAAGGCTACTCGGCCCAGCAAGTCTATCATTTAAAATGGAGGGATAAATAAAGAGCTTCCCAGACAAGAAAAAGCTGAAGGAGTTTGTTACCACCAAACCAGTATTGCAACAAATGTTAAAAGGCGTGCTTTAAGAAGAAAAAGAAAAAACAGGAAAGTAGTTAAAAAAATAAAATGGCAATACATACTTATCTATCAGTAAGAAAACAAGACCCACATATATGCTGTCTCCAAGAGACCCATCTTAGAACAAAAGATACATGAAGGCAGGATCATTGAGCTCCATAGTTTGTTTACATTCCCTCTGTTCTATTATATACCATTTATTCTCATTTAATAAACAAAACTAGTTAGTAATGAGTATTTCAATCTTGTAAAGCTCTGTCATATTTCAAATACCAAAAACCGTCATCCGTCTCTGTAGTAGGAGTGCCAGGATTAATAAATACAGTTACTTCCTAACCCCTTAATAGGAAATTATTAATAAGAAGATTTATTTCAGCCTTGGGTGGTGTGCTTCAGCAGACTGAGTGCCAGCCTGCGAACCCGAGTCGCTGGTTCAATTCCCAGTCTAGGGTATATGCCTGGGCTGCGGGCCAGGTTCCTAGTAGTGGGCATGCAAGAAGCAACCACACATTGATGTTTCTCTCCTCTCTTTCTCTCTCCTTTCCCTCTTTAAAAATATAAGTAAATAAAATCTTTTATTTAAAAAAAGATTCATTTCACTTACTAATGTCTATGAATTCTTCATATTTTTTCTCTGAAATAATGAAGTGGTTTTTTTTTTCAGGAGATGAGAATTTACTTTGCTAAAATGCTGGCGTCTGTCTGATAGGGAGTTTGTTCTTGTTGTTTTATTACTATGTAACGTTCTTCCAGTGGTCATTCTCTTGACTGTTTTGATTCCCTTCCTTGAAGTTTAGTTTTCATTCTGGCTTTCTTATTTCTGCTCCCTACACACACTGAGTCTTCATCCTTTCTAAGAAGCACTGAGGCACATCTCAAATTTTCCTCTTTTATTGGTAGCACGTAAAACTGTCAAATAACTTTTGGTAGAGTGACAGAATCAGCATGTGACTTGCTCAGACTATTGGGTCAGGCTTGATGTTTTATGTCTTGTGGAGGTCAGGACACACTATCCTTTGTGATTTCCCTAGTAAAATTTGTTCCTGATCAGCTGGTTAAAGTGACAAACATAATCATGAAAATACTACTCTTAAGCTCATTGAATTAATTTTTTGCTTATACCTTGATAATAACTTTGGCTAATGTTTTTGTTGTTAGTGTGTAATTAGGTAGAACCCAAACTAGCCTCACTAAGCCTAAGGTCTTTGCACAGGGTGCCAGTATTGTGCCGTTGAAGTCAGAAAACTTCTTGGTCTGAGTCTGGGGTCTGCCACTTATAGCACTATGGTTTTGGGGAATATCATATTCCAGTAAGATTTAGGTTCCTCATTTGCGAAGTGGTAGTATAATACCAGTGTCATCAGCTATTATGAATACTTAACATGATAATCGGTATGAAGTATAGAATATGAGACACAATGTAGACAATAATGTATGTATAAAGTAAGACATCTGCTTTCAGTTACCTTGGAGACCACAGCAAGAATTAGTAAAAAAAAATACACAAGACATCCAAAACACTAAAAATTTAAAACTTTGTGAATTTAGAAAGGTTGGAAAAAAATTAAATACAGACATAACAGGAATGGTATATAAGCTAAATTTGTTTCAGCACTCTTTAATTGCCTCCTATGCCAGGTACTAAATTGGGTACAGAGGTTATGAAGTGAAGGAAACCCCACCCTCAAAATGCTGATTCTTAATAAATAAATATGGAAACGAATAATGTGTTTATTAACAGTTATATTGTCACTTTTACGTTTCTCTAGGCTGCCAAACTTTTTGATGAAGAAGGAAGGAAAAAATTCTTTACACAGGATATGAATAATATTCTTCTGGAGTAAGTAATTTTCTTGTTTCGTTAAAAAAAAAACCGTAAAAATTATTTAAACCTTAAGGATTTATTTAAAAATATAGTAGGCCTTTGAGATACAAATTCTGAGGGGCTGGCTAGTCTCATGCATTAGCAGCACTTCCCTCTCAGCCTTCCAGCATGTATGATGAGCATTTGTTTCTCAGCAAAATGATGTTTCTGCATTTATTGGTTCGCCAGGACCACTTACGATAATCAAAGCTTCCAATATTATAACTGCCAGAGCAAGTGACCACTGTATAGGCTCAAGAGTATTCTAGATTTATATGTATTATTTTTATTAACTTCTATGAAAATATCCTCCTGGGAGAGCTCTGTTTATATTAAATTTGGTGTAACTTTCTGTCTACTTTTAGGTGAAAAAAACACATATAAACTCTTAAAGACAAGTGGAAAGTAGGGTTTAAAGAAGAAATTGTGATTGTGGGGTACGATTGAGTCCAGTGTGGAAAAGACAGAAGTTAGATTTGGAAGGAGAGGGTGAAGGCTGATTTATGACATAGATTATTTTTAATGTAGTGATAATTTTCACGCTTTGTTAGAGTCTGAGCCTAGTAAAGCTGTAGATTCTAAGATTGTGATCTCATAAGATGTACTTACAAACCTATTGGCTTATAAATTTTGACCACTGGTTACAGAAACTGAGTATATAATTGACTGCAAGCAGAACTGGGCAAAAAAGAAGTGATTCAGGGGAAAGCAGCAAAATTTATTCCTCTGATGAAAATAATGTATTGGTGATTCAGTGGCATCTTATAGAAACAGAGAAGTAATATTTCTAATACTGTGATTTCTATCTTTTAGATATATAACTGAGGTAGTTTCTCACAAGATACGAAGGATGAATTGGTTTGTTGATTCTGAAAACTATTTTTATTAATTGCAATCGCTCATGCTGGAATACTTAAAATGTGTTAAGTCCTAGAGACTTCATGAAACGTACAGCCTAGTAAGCTCCGAGTAGTATGGTGAAGTCTTGTTTCCATCCTTTATTTTAGCCAGGGATTTTCAAATTGATTCTGTCTGCTGAAAGTAAGGCAAATGGTTCCCGTCTGTACCAACTCCTTTTACCAGCTCCTTTTACCTAGCTCCCTGAAACCCTGGTCAATAAACAGTGTGACCATTGCTCACCAGAGCTGTCCCAGATTCTGTAGTCAGGGATGTGACTAGTTCTTTTTCTTTGTACTTGAAAGCCCTAAGTTTCCTAGATCAGATCCTTTTCGTGAGACTGAGAATTCTTTTCTTTCTTTTTTAAATTTTACTCTTCTGTCAGAGGAAACAACTCTTTTTTTCCCATGGGAGAATTAAAAGGCCATCCTTGGGAAATACTATCTCAAATAAGCAGAGTATTAACATTCCATTAACAGGCTTCTCTGTTAATTCCTCTCCTGTCTGTCCTAAAACAGATCCTCTAGTTTTTTGCAGCCCATCCACATTTTATTTCATAGAGAGTCCTACAGTTCTGCAAACCCTAGTGTTTAGTTGATTTTTTTTTTTCCTTTTCTAGTCACTTTCTTGTGCCCCCTGGCCTCTCTTTCCACTTTCCTAAACCAACATCCCTTATATCTCTGGGCTGAGTTGATCTTTTAAGGGAATGTAGTAGATTTTTGGGGTAGTTATTCCTGCAAAGTTATCCATGTATTGCTTCCTTATCCTGGGGAAAAACAGATGAGTTTGTTGGAATAGAGTACGCTTTTATTTTTTGCCTAATTGAATTTGACCTGGATCAACAAACATACAGCATACTGGCTTGCTTTCATCCTCTATTTCCTCCTTTACCTCAAGCAGACATTGCTAATGAAATCTTGACTCTTTGCCTATTATTCCAGTTCAGCCTGACAGTTCTGCTCAACAAATGCTCTAGGCAGGTTCTACCACCTGCACACACTTGCAGTGAGACCTGTCTGCCATCTCATTGTTAGATGCTTCTTTAGGGAGCTCGTGAGTGAGTGGTGACTTGAATCTCAGTGAATAGACTTATCACATGATTTCTCTGTTGGTTTCTCTCTCTTTGAAACAGGGAAAGGTTAACAAAGGGAAAGGGTTGATTATAAGCCAGAGCTTTTTCTTACTCTCTTGTGGGGTTACTTTGCAACTGGAAGAATCCCAAACAATTTTTCAACTGCATTTCTAAGCTGTTCCACACCAAGTCTTTTTCAGTAACACTAGAACCAACCCATCTGAATAAAGTAGTTATTTAGGGACAGGAGGGTCGAACACACCTCTTGTCTAGCATCAGTTAACACATCAATGGGCTTTTGAATTCTTGCGATAAGATAAAGAGCTATTTAGTGTTTTGAGTTTGGGTTATTGCTCCCTGGGTTTTTCTTCAGATAGTAGTTTTCTATGGTTATATTATTTGGACAATATTGGTAGGATATCTGGAATACTCGAGGAAAAATCTAGGAAATTCAGTAGATTCCAGGATTCGTTTGGACTTAGAGCTTTTCTTTTACTAGTATTTTAAGCTGATTGAATAAGAAATATATTTCATTTTTAAAAAAGAGGGAGTTGGTGGGGCAGGAAGATATGTTATGTATCACCTATGGGGAAGTGACTATATTTCCAGAATTCCGTGTGAAAAGAAAATACCATAGTAGTTATCACTAAATATTCCTCAGCAGGAAAATCTTGTTTACAAAGATGGCTATTGTTTGCGCCTGTGGTGTCCCATGTTAACATTTCTTTGATGCTTCTCCAGAGGCAAAGGAGAGCCTTGGGTAGACAGAAAAGTGAAGAATATAAAAGTGAGTTTCCAGCCTGTTTACTCAGCAAAACCCAGTGTTTGTTCTCTAGTGCATTAATAGCAGATGGTCACAGTATATATTCATTCTTTTAGAACCTGTAGTGACCTCATGCTCGTAATTTATTATCAGAGGTTTGAGGCCCATTCATAGTACCTTTCATGCACAGAAATCTGCTTTTGGATAAATTTTACTCCAGAGGAAAAGGAGCCCACTGGAAAAAAGGAGACAGGCTCGGGAATGTTCACTACTTCAAGAGAACCTTTGTGTCTCTGTGAAATAAGTATGAAAATATCTAAAATTCACACTTTTGTTGCCATGTGTTTTTAGTTGTCTCCAGATACTTCTTAGACCTTAGAAGATTGGAATTCTTAGGAAAAAAATATCACAGTATATATGTTAGGGATGTGCACTTAAAATAGTCATGTACTGCTTAACAGTGAGGATACATACATTCAATGATTTCATTATTGTGCAGACAAACCATTAACTATCTACTCTGTAAAGTAGGCACAATAAAGGAAACAAAGGTGGATAAAACAGTCTGCAAGTGCAGCCAGAAAAGTTTTTCCTCCTTTGAATCTGAAATTTTCGAACACCTCTAAGGAAAAAGTACTCTTAAGAACTCCTTGAAACTGTATGACTCACTAGTATAGTAATTGCAAGGGTTGAGGGGAGTATGCTGTCTCTTTGAGGAAATAAGCTTTTGGTTAATAATGGAGTTCCTGTGCTTTACCCAAAAATGTAGACTTTGCCGCTGTCATGAGGAAAATTATTTGCCAGCTTGTGGATTATATAAATTCTCCTCCTAAACTGTGCTCATTGAAATTTTCTATAACATCACTATTAATTTTTTTTTCCCTTGAAAAATGTCTAAGAAATTTGTCTAGGAAATTGTGGAAAGTGTAAAATGAGAAAAGAATGACTTCCTTTGCCTCCTTGCTTGTCGGCTTCTACCTGAAAGAAATTCTGTACTATTTATTTGTTGTTGTTGTTTTGGTCAGCATTGAGTTACAGCTACAGGAACTAGGCCCTGTCATTCGTAGCGGTGTCTACGCCCATCTGGAAGCTTTTGTGCCATGCAATAAGGAAACACTAGTAAAACGTCTGAGGAAGTTACATCTCAACGTCCAGGTAAGGGGAGAAACGATAATATCTACATTGGTGGTTTTGCAACCTAGAAAGAGGCTGGTTTCTTGTGGGGTTTTTTCCACATTAATTGATTTATAGTCATGCTGTGTATATATTAAGGTCATGTTAGATCCCCTGAAAAAAATTACCTTTCTATAATTGATAGGTTTAGTTGAGAAATGATGTTTTCTAAGGCATAAATTCTTGGGGTGATAAATTATTAGCCTGTTTCACAGCAAATACAACTTTGCCTTCAACAGATAATCTGACATAATTATGAATCAATTGTCTTATCCCTAAAATGGCTCTATACAGACATTATGCAGACCAGTGGAAAGAATCACAGAGTTGCATGCTAATTTAAAAATTTAGTGTAATTCATGTTTTGCTAGATTATTCTCTCCTACAACCCCACTAAATGTTCAAGTTGAATTCTTCCAGTGCTCAGAAACTTATTTTATTAGAATGTCAGAAAGTCCTTCCATAGTTTGAGCTAAATCCAGGTGCTTACTACCCTGTTGGTCCTAATTCTGCCTTTGAGTTCATTCAAAAACCTAATCATATATCCCCATCATCACTTTTATAGTTTTGAAAGCATTCCTTGTGACCCCTTTTTTACTTCTTATGAAATGATTCCCCAACCTTCATTGTCTTGATTATTTTTCCCTTGATGATTTGTTTGCCTGTCTTGTTAAAAAATATTTATAATCTGCAAGTTATAGAAAATAACTTCAATGAAGTTTAAGACCAAAAAAAGAAGGATTCTTTTCCCCCATGAGTAAAGGTATTTCATGGAGTTAAGGGCAAGAATGCAGCCAGGAAGGATGGGAACTGATCATTTCGATTAACTTTGTTTCTGCTTCTCTCCCCACATCTCATATTTATCCTTTTATGTGCATTTGCAAATAAGATCACTTGATTCTCAAGGTTTTACATTACAGAAAAGCCACACACAGAGACTGACTCATCTCTCTCATCCCAATCCAAATTCCTGGGACAAAAAATCTGATTATAATATCTTGGGCCAACCTAAACTTTTCTGGCTGGAGGGGGTGCAGGGGTGGAGGTTGGAGTCCACAGCACAACATGGGTATCTAAGGCCTACCATGGTGTGAATAGGAGAATGCATGTTGTGTCTTTGATCATGGTACTAGCTGCAATCTGACATAGAATTCTTTACTATGGGTACAATACTTACGTTAATAAAATACTTGAAAAACTATAGTTCTCTCTCGATTCAAAGCAGGTTGATGAACAAATGAAATTCACTTAAGGTCTGAGATTTTGTGCCCATACCTTACTCTTTCAGACATTGACAGTTGGAGCTTACAGCCATAAGTTCTAATGACACAAATAGGTACCAGAACAAAAAAGGCTAGAAGTAGGAAAACAACTTTTTACACACTGTAAAATATTTTCTAAGGGACGTTTGAGGTTCGATATTTGAAGTGATTTAATATCTCTATTGGCTATGAGAGAAAGCCACTGATCTTACCCTTGCTTTTCTTTATATGGTTTTATTACGCACGTTTGTAAACATAAACATTATATTATTTGGGTTTTTTAGTATGATTCATATAAGTTGAATCAGACCGTCTTTTCTTCTGCAGCTTGCTTTTTTACACTTAACATTATGCACCTTTACATTGATCTGTCTTTCCATGTGGTGGTACTCCATACAGTTTTAATGCTGTGTGAACAGTATTCCATTGTATGAATATATCCCAATTAATTTATTCATTTTATTGTTAATGGATATTTGGGTTGCACCTGGGAAGATAATCTCACCTATATAATTCTCAGAAAGTGATCACCCAAAATGAATGTTTGCATTTTGAAAAATGGGATTTTATAGCAGACTCTGTCTATTACAGTGATATTTATTAATTGGTATGCCTGAAAGAGGTAGATGCTTATGAGTAATAATATTTGTTTTTATTAATAAGGTAAATGTTACTAATAAAATAAAATGTTTTAATTTATAAGACGTACCTGCCATAACAAGGTAATTGTATTCCAAAAAATCCTCTTCATACCAGAAATCACTTTTTTATAATAAAAGTATTTTATTCATTTATTTTTAGAGAGAGGGGAAGAGAGGGAGAGAGGGACAGAAACATCAGTGTGAGAGAGAAACATCGATCAGGTTGCCTCTCATACACGGCCCAGTTGGGGACCAAACTTGCAACATAAGCTTGTGCCCTGACTGGGAATCGAACTGGGGACCTTTCTCTTGGAGGACAGCGCCCAACCAACTGAGGCACACCAGTCAAGGCTAGAAATCACATTTTAAAAATAGTTGGGTCAGTGAAGAAAAGCAAAGTCTTACAATATTTCTGTACCTATGACAGTAAGAAAAGTGTTTTAAATTGTTACATATATTGTACTTGCAAGATGAAAATAGTAAATTGGTTAATTAAAGCTGTCAGATGCAAATTTACTTGCTTTTCTTTTTGCCCCCAACTCCTAGGATAAGAATCTCCCAGTTTCCTTTTTCATTTTAGCCTTACCTTGCATTTTTGCTTGCAATATAAGTAACGATTACCAACAGTAAACAAGAGAACAGGATGCCAGCCAACATCCTGTTGACAGTCTTCGAAACCAAATTGTATATTTCTCCTTGTGGTGCTGGTCCCCCAGCATAATGGGAGTTAACTGTTATGTCTGCACAGTGTAGAGTTTGTTCTCTGTGTAATCATTTTGTATTACGGTTCAAGTGTCGATATAATTTATTGACCAAACACAGGGCATTTCTAAAAATGTAAAAGAGCACTATTAATAATTATGCTGGGGCAACAGGCAAAAATTGAGACTCTTTTTGGCTATCTGGAGAGTATGGTCATGGTAATTTTATATCCAGTGTGCATTAGGAAAAGTCAGTGCTGTAGAAGAAATATCTGTATTTAAATATATTAACATTTCGTATCTTGAATCAGTGTCTAAAACGTGAATTTCATTTGAGGATCCTGCTTGTTAGATAAGTTTTGTTAAACATGTTTGAAAAAACTTTGTTTTTTTCCTCAGGATGATCGTTTGAGAGAACCTCTACAAAAACTGAAACTGGCTGTGAGCAATGTCATGCCTGAACAGCTATTTAAATACCAGGAGGACTGCCAGGCTCGCAGTCAGGCTAAGTGTGCCAAGTATGTACTCCTTCTATTTGAACTGGTTTTTGCATTTGAGAAATATTTTTAGATGTTAGGGGTTGGCATTAAGTGAACTTCATCACTAAGTAGAAATCCACATATACCACAGAAATGGTATATGCGGGTCTTTATAACATATGTTGGTGTTATACCAATAGGTGAGTCTATATCAGAATATTTAAAATTTATCTATTAAATATTTTCTAAATGAAATCGCTTCCCACTCAGTTGCTTTGATGTGAAAGGCAAAAAGTTTGTTGATTTTGTGTATGGGTGTGATCAAAGCAAGAGCTGACCCTGGTCAAACATTTCACATGTTGACCAACTTAACTGTCTGAGGTTGGTCACAAATATATTCTGAACTAAAAAATAACCGTTCGTGCCTTTACATTATAGTTTGAAGACCTTATTTACTAAATGACTTTATAACACACTTGAAATTCAGAGTATTATGTGGAAAGGTAGATTCCCTGTTTACCTTGTCTTTTGAGTTTAAGTCCAATTAAGCAATTCAGGAAGTTTCTAGAGATTGTATTACAGGCAGTGTTGAGTTAAAAATTTGCTTTATAAAATGTTTTTCATTTTTAGGTTGCAAACAGATGAAGAACGAGAAAAAAATGGATCCGAGGAAGATGATGATGAGAAACCAGGGAAACGTGTCATAGGACCAAGGAAAAAATTCCACTGGGATGACACCATTAGGTAAGATTTAACCAAAGCCTTCACTTTTAACTAAGTAGATAATGGAGAAGCAAGGTTTCTCATAAAAAGAATCTCCAGTAAGTTGAGGACTGGATTGGGAGCAACCAAAGATGTGTATGTAGGAAAAACTTACTCAAGAGAAGATTGATAACAGTCCTAATATTTGTAGAGTGCTATCAGTTTTATTTTTATATAAAGATTTTTTAAGCTAATTGTTTAATTATTGGTTAAATCACATACTGGTTTCAGAAGGTGAAGGGCTCAGAATACTTGTGTAGTCAGTCATCTTTCTTACCAGGAACTCAGTATCCCAAGTAAGAGTTTAGGTGTGGGACTGCTCCTTTCAGTCTTTGATGCCTAGATTAAAGGTATCAAAGGAAGTTGTTTCATGTGGGGATTTGGCTATAGTGCAATGAATGATGTATGTTAGAAGTCACTTTTCTTCATGTCATCCTCTGAATTTTTCAGATAATATTCTTTATTATTGCTGTCAGATTTATGTGCTTTTTAAAAAATCTGTTTCAAGCTTAATTTTCTACAATTTTGCAGTCAGATTTATATATAAATATATATTTTTAATCTGTTTAGAACTTTGTTATGTAACCTTGTTGAGATCAAATTGGGATGCTATGAGTTAGAGCCAAATAAAAGCCAGTCTGCTGAGGATTATCTTAAATCCTTTATGGAGACAGAGGTGAAACCATTGTGGCCTAAGGGCTGGATGCAGGCAAGGTAAGAAATATGACATCCTAGATTTCATTTATTTACTTTCTTATTGTTGCTGTTATTAAAGATACTTATATACACTCACATGACATTCATTTTACTGAGAAACTAATGTATTTAAAATTCTATATAGTCATCTCAAACGATCTCTGCGTTGAAAACGTCAGGCACTGAAAAGACTTAAACAATGGGTCACATGGACATAGAGATAAATACACATAAAGGTGTTTTTTTGAACTGCCCACTTTTTCCTTTTTGTACCTGAATTTGCCAGTTGAGAAAAAGGGAGGGGAAAGATGGCTATGAACTTTGGGAGGGGAACTTGACATGGCTATTGTGGTGATAGGGAACGGAATATAAGATTTAGAGTGACGAAAAAGAGACACAACCTTAGGTTCTATTGACAGTAGTCAATATAGCGTGGTATCTCAAAAAAACCCCGACTAATTTAAAGTTTAAAGAGTTAAGTAATAGACTTGGCTATCTGAACCAGTCATGTTCCATCTTAAAGCAGCAGAAAACATGTGTCAAGCTGTTCAAGATTTCATAGAGGTGATATACAACTCCCTATGAGATAGATTATTGAAGCTATTGTATAATTATAACTTTTACTTGGTAGATAAGCAGATAATAGCCTGTTGAAAATCCAATGATTAAAATGATAAAACAATTATCATATTATTTATCTACTATAAAAAATTAATTATGTCCTTTTAATTTTTCCAGAATGCTTTTTAAGGAAAGCCGGAGTGTACATAATCATCTTACTTCTGCACCGTGAGTAAATTCAGACTCCACATTTCTCACTTAATTTTATTCACTTTGTGTGCGTTAGTAAACAAAAATATCATTTATTAAATGCTAGTTGAAATCTGACTGAAACATACATTTAAACAATTCCATGCACCACTGCCTTTTTTTTTTTTAAATCATTTTTATTGTTGACTATATAGACCTCAGAATAAACTTACCTTTTGAACAGTTCTCAGTCTAGTCTCCAAAACCCTGAATCCATAATGTACCAGGTCTTGGCCTGAGCTCTGGTAGTCAGGAGCCATGTGACCTGCAAGGCTCTGGTGGTTTCCTTTGTTCTTGGGCCTTTTGTCCTTCCATTCTTTTGTGCCCTTTTTCTTCCCCTTAATGACCATCTATCTAGTTTAACCTATAGCCTTGTGCTTTCCAAGACAGTTCTGTATACATACCTATACTTCCTCGCCTGGCAGAGCATTTTATTCCACAAAATTAACCTATTCTTCTTGTCCTTCCGTCTGTTCAAAACCAGGTATTTATTTCTTTAATGATATGTTTACTAAAGAAAGGTCTCTTATCCTTCTGACAGGCAATAGTAGAAAGGCAGGTTTTTTCTCGTTTTATTTTTGAGTGAATACTGGTTAACTCAACAAGAATTTTATTTTTACCTACAAGTTAGGGGTAATTCCCTGTAGCCTAAAAGTGTAATATTAATAAGGTATAAAAATTGGCAAGTCACTGAGAATTTCCTGAGCACTCTAATTCAATATTCTGCTCATTCAGTGTCCTGCTAGGAGGTCTGGTTAGCATGCTGTGGGTAACATTACAAAATTCCCCTTCTCCTTGTATAAGTTGCTGATATAATAGATGGAATTTTTTACAGCTGTTAGGAACGACACTTGGTTAGTACACCATCAGAAATGTATTGAATTACTTGTGGTTTTCAGTCGTAGTCTTCTTATTTTTTGAATTTATATTTGGGGTAGTTTGGTTTCATATATTGCAGGTGTGTATTCTTTGTTGCAAGTGGTTTAGTTATCCTGTGGTGGGGGAATATATGACCAATTTTGTGTTTTGTACCAGAAAGTAGGCATCTGTGGGGCAGGTGGGCCTAGAAGTCTTTTTACCCGAGAGCTCTTTATAAAAGAAAAAACTTTGAAAATTACTCTTGCCTCAGTGAAGCAGTAGATTGGCAGTTTTAAGATATTTGTTAATTTAAATAATATTTAACTAAGTGAAATACAAATATTCAGACAATGTGAGGTATTTTAGCTTGTCAGTCCTTTAATTATTCAACAGATATTTGAGTACTTTATCCTACTATGGAATTTATAAGAGGTTTTTAATCTTTCATCTTTTTCACAGTGGTTCCCAACAGTTCCACTGTGTTTTCTCTGACATTTTATTCTCTCATTTTGACACTTTTATTTGAATATTTAAGTTAAATATAATTTTCTTTAAACATTTTTTTAAAAGGAACAAAAACCTAAAACTAAAACAATATTGTATGTCAACTGTAATTGGAAAGGAAAATTTGATGCAAAAAATTTTTTTTCTTTATAATCTTGAGGATTTTTCTGTTTTTGTTTTTGTTTTGTTTTTTTTTCAAATATCTCATTTACAACTTCTTGGCATGGTTTAATTTGAGCTGGAAGTTTCTTGAAGCTCTGTTTTCTTATAAATAATTTTAAATTCTGACCAGTTCTTTGAAGTGAGACTCCTTAGCAGTTTTTTGTTCGCCTGTTTTATTTTTATTTTATTTTGAATACTTACATTTAATTTTAAAAATAACTATCATTTATATTTCATATTTTGGTCTGGTCTTCTAATTAATCAAAATTGGGGGAAATGTTGCTGTCTATTCACATATAAATTGAGCGCTTACATGTAGCTTCTTCCCTTAGAGTTTTCCAAATAGCAGAAGAAATGATTTACCCATATAATTACAAGATGATGTTATAATTTCCTAATATGTGACCTGACTGCTACTGAAATGCCCTCCTTTTTAATCTTTGGTCTTTAGGGCAAAGAAAAAGGTGATTCCTGCACCTAAACCCAAAGTGAAGGTAAGTATTAAACCAAATCTTACTTTAGTCATGATGATGAACACTGAAGTGCGTTCCTAAACAAGAAGCATGTGTGGCATTGAGCGTGATCGGCAGGTGTCATCGTGCTCTTAAGACGGATGTTCTCAAACTTTGTAAAAACAATTTCCAGAACCCTTGTATTTGGGGAAAAATACAATGACTGTAGCAGTGGGAAATTTGCATATTATTAACTAACTTGTAAGGCTTAACTTAATACTTAGAAACACTGAATAAAATATAACAAATAACCTTTAAAACCATAGCTGAGGTTGCGAATATATGTAAGACGTCCCTAAGGCCCCAAACAAGGAAGCTGCCATAGTATTAGTCTGCTTCTGAAGCTTTGCCTGCCTTTAGGGGCATTTGCTGATTTTCACCCATTATCTTATGTTTTATGTTTAAATTTCTTCTCCGAGCACAGCACTAATGGACTAATATAGGTTGAGAATTAGAATGAAACTCTGCATAAACCTGAGACCCTCAAAGGATAATATCTTTAGTAAAAGAAAGGACTAGAAAAGAAATCTACTCACCAGCAGAAAGGTTAGGAAACGTCCATATCTTGGTGCTGGTTTTGGATTAGGGGAAGAAAGTTCTCCTTGAGAATTTCCCTTGGTTTAGGGGTTTAATTTACACTACCTGTGTGATTTGGGGAAACCTCAAGCTGAAGAATAGCCTGAAGTTATTAGATTAATATTAACCCAGGGCAACTGGCAAATCAGATTCTCTCTGGAAGAGTATACCCTCATCTCAGGCCTCGAATGTCCACCACACATACACTGTGTCAAATCGGAGCGCACAATCTGAAAACAGAGAAAATGTGAGGAAATCTGTTACAATGAGTGAGAGTCAGCAGAAACTCCAACAGAGTTAGATCCCTGCAAAGTGATGGATTTACTGGGTTTAGAACATGAAGTAATTTAACTTAATTTTTTTTAATATTTAAAGAGGTAGAAGAGAGGATAGAAAATACCCTAAAATAGAGCATCCCTGGCTGTGTTGTTCTGTTGGTTGGATCATCGTTCTGTACACCAAAAGGTTGCAGGTTCAATTCCCAGTCAAGGCACATACCTAGGCTGTGGGTTCCATCCCTGGTCGGGGTGCATATGGGATGCAACTGATCTATGTTTCTCTCTCACATCGATGTTTCTCCCCACCAACCCCCCCCTTCCCCTCTCTCTAAAATTAAGCATATCCTCGGTGAGGATTGAAAGAGAGTGAGAGCGCGTGCGAGAGAGCAGAATTGAAAAAGAACCAAGTATAAAATCCAGAAGTGAAAACTGTAATCACTTGAAATTAAAATTACAGTGAAAGCCCGCCTGCTTTATAACTTAGTCTTCCCAATAACCTTCCTCTCTTTGAGGGATGAGTTTCTTTGCATATGAGATTATGGCAGAAGGTCAGAATATTTGTTACTCTGTGGCCTTCTTTAATTTTAGAGACTCTTTGAATATAGAGTAAAACTGTCCTCTTTCTCTTAGTAACCTGCTTTGTCTTCTAATCTAAATAATATTGAACCAATATTTTATTAAATCTGTTGAGTTCATGCTTTGTTTTGATACCTGATTTTTAAACTCCTAATAACCTCCACTGAGGGTTAGATGTTGATACATCTCTTCAACATATGAATTATCGAATTCTAATAATGGAAGTATTAGGGGAGTCACTGTTTTGTTTGGGTTTTGTGATTAAATTACTTCTTCCTTTTTCCCAAAATGTGCGGACTTGGTTTTTTTCCATCCTGCCATCCCTCAAATATCTATTTTAGTTAGAGAGATAATATAAGGAAATACAGAAGAACATGCACACAACAGAAAAAAGTAAGAAGGAGAAAAGAAAAAGTATTGAGAAATTTCTACTTAGGGGGAAAAAACTCTTAAGTTCCTGGTAAACATTTGCCCTCCCTTCTTCTGGATCTTTGCCCCTCTCTCTCCTTCCGTCCATCTGTCCAGCCATTCATTTATTCAGATTGAGTTAACATTTTATGTAAGTGGGATAATGTGCTTTTTTGACTCAAATATATATGCTGAACAATTTTTTTCTGCCAATGTAAATCTACACAGTACAGATTTAATGTTATTTTTACAAAGAGAAAAATATTAATAAAAAGGTTACTTAAAACAGCAATTTTATACAGGCAACACTGCAATATTATTCTGATATACTTCCCCACCCTCAGTTTCTGTACTTTTTATAATGATGGAATTTTTACTGGTTATGTGATCACATGGCTTGTCAAAGCACATGTGTCCCATCTGCATTAACCATTCATGCGAGCAGCCAGTTGTGACCCGAATGCAGTTTCACTGCCGGCTTCTGAGGGGCAGGGATGTTTGCAGTCAGGGCGTTGAGAACAGAAGCTGAGTGTAATAGCATCCCTAACAGCTGGCTTACTGTAGCACCGTGGGAGGTGAGGGTAAAGACCCTTCCTCTCCATTCTTTCCCACTATGCTTAAGGTAAGTGCTGTGGTTGTATAAATTGATATATAATGCCAGGCTTTGGGTTTGGGGTTATTTGGTTGGGTTGGTTGGTTTGAATAAACTTACTGAAACCTTGAAATGATTTTTATGTCATGGTTTTATTCTTAATCTTTAAAATGTATGATACAAGTAAACACTTTATACTTTTAAGAGAAAGTTTTTAATTCTTTTGCTCTTTGACTATTTTGAACTGCTCTAATTCTCTTATTTTTTTTTTTTTTGAAAAAAGAAACAGTATTCTCTTAGGTATTCATAGTTTTAATTCCTAATTCTCTTGTTTTTTTAGCACAGGAGACACTTAGCATAGTGGACACTTAGAAAATATATGTTAAAAAAATAAAAAATGACTCCTTCCGTGCTGAACAGAAAACATAATTTAAGTATGTTTGGACTGACGTGCCAGTTTCGCTATATATTGACGATGGGGGGCTTGCAGGGCAAGGCATTGCAAAGATCACAGAGCCTGAGGGGCGGTATCTTGGCAAAACGTGCTCACCAAGATGGTAGAGTCTTGAGGTAAAGGCAGAACTTCTCCTACACGCAAGGAGACTCAGGTGGAGTTGGAGTAGCACCTGAAGGTCTGGCACAGGTGGGTGGGGAGAGAGCTGTTTCATCAGCAGTGTGACTAGTGTGTCAGCATTTCTTCAGCTTGGCTTCACGCCTTCTTAGAATGGCACCCTAGGGTGTGGTAGGTGTTAGGCTCATGAGGACAGTTCAGTCAGGAGCTCTGTCCTCTAAAAAGTTATTTGGTTTTTACAGTGTCTGAAGAAGAGTTCCAGTAGAATGTTAATCATCATGAGAACTTCTTAGCCTTTAACAACAAGTACTTACTAATTTTTTAACTAATCATTTTATTTTTTTCTAATACAATGCTGTTTACGCCAGGAGTGTAGTCCAAAAAAGGACCAGAAAACGCCCGCGTCCTTGGCAGCTTCCGCTGGTGGGCCCTCGACGAGCTCTAGCACATCTGCCATGGCTTCCACCAGCTCTGGCTCCACTCCGGCCCAGGAGACCATCTGCCTTGATGACTCACTAGATGAAGACCTTTCTTTCCACCCCCCTGCACTGGACCTTGTTTCTGAAGCTCTGGCTGTTATCAACAGTGGAAGCAAGGGCCCTCCAGCTGGCTCCAGGATAAGCATGCCGACTGCAAAACCTCGCCCGGGACTGAGAGAAGAAAAATTAGCAAGTATTATGAGCAAGCTGCCCCTGGCTACTCCCAAAAAACTAGACTCTGCTCAGACTGCACATTCATCAAGTCTTATTGCTGGTCACACAGGGCCAGTACCAAAGAAACCCCAGGATTTAGCTCATACTGGCATCTCTTCAGGCCTTATTGCTGGTTCTTCAATTCAGAACCCTAAAGTTTCCTTAGAACCTTTGCCAGCCAGGCTACTTCAACAAGGACTACAGAGGTCAAGCCAGATCCATGCTTCTTCCTCTTCCCAGGCCCACGTCTCCTCTTCCTCCCAAGCCCAAGTCGCTGCCTCCTCTCATGCTCTGGGAACATCAGAGGCCCAGGATGCTTCTTCGTTAACACAAGTAACAAAGGTGCACCAGCATTCCGCTGTCCAACAGAATTATGTGTCTCCATTACAAGCAACCATTAGTAAATCACAGACCAACCCAGTGGTGAAGTTAAGTAATAATCCTCAGCTGTCCTGTTCATCCCCACTTCTTAAGACTTCAGAGAAGCCACTTATGTACCGCTTTCCCTTATCCACTCCCTCGCCTGGTAACGGTTCTCAAGGGTCCCACTCCCTGGTTTCTAGGACAGTACCTAGCACCACTACCTCCAGTAACTATTTAGCCAAGGCAATGGTGTCACAAATCTCCACGCAGGGTTTCAAGTCTCCCTTCTCAATGGCTGCCTCCCCAAAACTTGCCGCATCTCCTAAACCTGCCACATCCCCTAAACCCTTGCCCTCACCTAAGCCTTCTGCCTCACCCAAGCCCCCTCTGTCAGCTAAGCCTTCAGTATCAACTAAACTTATTTCTAAATCCAACCCAACTCCCAAGCCTACTGTACCCTCAAGTTCTCCCAGTCCAAGTGTGCTAGCAGCCCAGAGTGGCCGCTCCAGTAGCAACAGCCCAGTCCATAAACAGCCCAGTGGAGTGAACATGAGCAGACAGTCTCCGACCTTGAATTTATTGCCCTCCAATCGCACTTCAGGCCTTCCATCGACAAAAAACCTTCAGGCCTCTTCAAAGCTACCAAACTCATCCTCCACTGGAACTGTCGGGAAGAATAGCTTGGGTGGAATTGCAATGAATGTACCTGCCAGCAGAGGTAGCAACCTTAACTCAAGCGGAGCTAATAGGACGAGTCTATCTGGGGGAACAGGAAGTGGAACACAGGGTGCTTCTAAACCGTTGTCTACTCCACATAGACCATCCTCTGCCTCAGGGTCTTCCGTGGTAACAGCCAGTGTGCAGGTAGGTATGTTACACTCGTTCACGGGATAAAATGTAAGATTGTGTAACCCTTCTTTCCTTATGATGATTTGTAGGTTGTTTATAGTATCTTGTAGCTTATGGTCAAGGAATGTTCCTGTTGTTGACATCACAGTGACAGGGATACTTGAGGATGAGTTTTTTGTTGGGATTTTTTTTTTTAGTAAAGTAGCACATGCTTAGTTTCAAAAATTTTGAAAGATACAATGAAAATACATATCGAAAACTCTTACTAAAGTTTAGAACAAAGTAGTAACTTAGGAATTTAACACACCTTCACTTGTTTCCCCTCTTTCCCACCCTGGTCCCAGCGTTTTATTTAGTCAAATTTATACATTCATGTTATTTTTTTTTCCTTAAACCATTTGTCTTTTCAAATAAAATTTTTATTTTGCATGAATTTTGCAATTCATAAATAATTCTCTTTGTCAGATTTGTATCACTAATCCTTTTATACCAGTTTCTCCATTTTTGAGATTTTAATTTAAATTTCTCTCTCAGTTAACAGGAGTACCTCACACAAGGAACCTTTCCCAAAAGGCTGATGTGAGAGCTCTTTTACCGCACTTCGCTTTATCTTAGCGCTGTCACAGTTGGTAGTTACTAAGTGTCTCTACGTTTTGTAAATACCGGTCCACTGACCGCTTATATTTAGGATTATAGGGGTCATCCTGATTTTTTTGTTCTCTTATCAGTAATGTGTTTCCTCTGCCTACATGCTAGTAAGATTTTCTCTTGCTGAAATTCAAGTGTTTTCCAGAGTTTGGCTTGGTTTGTCTCGTTTTCAATAATTCTTTACCTAGAACATGGTAACTTTGAATCTCAGGCCTGGCTGCGTGTCTTCAGCTCAAGACTGCAGGGGCGGGCCAAAGGGGGCTTGCATTGGAAGGACGCAAAACGCAGTTTATTCTTTCATTATCATTAATTATTCCTGATCCATTTGGCCTAGGATTTTTGAGAACCCTTTGTTACTCACAGATTTCATCTCTCTGCCTTCCCTGTCATCAGCTCTGTTTCCATCTTTCTCCCACTGCTTTGTATTCTGAGACTTGCTCATTACTGATTTGCTTTCTTTAATGTTTCCCCTCCCCCACCCCATAAAGAAACATGTGGTCACTGTAGGCAAATTTATAAAAAGAAAATAAAAACCACCCATTCCACCACTGTTTATATTTTCCTGGTATTTTTTTTTTTTAGACTTTTTACAGCAAAGTGAGTTTTACACAATAATTTGTTTCATAACAAGGTTTTTAAAAAATAGAACATTTTATGATGTGTTCTTAGGTTTTTAAGTGTTATTTGAAAACATGACTTTTATTGATTTATGGAATTCTGTTCTCTAACGAAGTGCTCTGACTTTGTACTGTGTCCTATTTATGTGGAATGTGAACATTTAATGAAAGAATTTTCCCCCTGGTGTTCAGAGACGTTCTGGGCTCTTTAATACAAGCTAAGCATTGGGTATTCAATAGATACTTAAAACCCAAGTTACCACTCTGCCATGGCTGTAGGCTTAGAAATGAATTTATTCCATAATTCTAATATAGAACAAAATTCAGTGAATTGATACTTTATTAATTGGAATCTAGGATTAATTGGTGCTGTAGCTACATAATTTTACTGTTACCAGAAATATGAAAATAACAGCAAACTGACTGGGAATTGTATGTTAAAATTTAAGTTATAACTAAGGTCTGGAAACTAGTCCACATTCCTGTTTGTATTAACCTTTATTAAAATGATGGCTTTTTCAAATTAATCTTAAATTTGATCAAAGGACTATTTGAGACGATTACAAGAGAAATGGCATCTTTCTACCCCGTACTATTCTCCTTCTTAATGCCTCCTACTTTTAACTCTCTCAGCATTTTCTCTGTGTTTTTAAATATGAATGAATGAAATACTTTCAGTTTATTGTCTTTGGCATCTCATGATAAATGAGGCTTTTAGCTTCCTTATATTTTTCCCATTCTCCTGAAAGACTAAAATAACAAATTTTGGTTAAATCCATGACTGTAAAATTTGTCTCTGTTAAGCTAAACATCGTACACTATGGTTTTGTTGCTTATTATAAAATTTTGGCTTGTTTCCTAGAGTTTAAAATTTTTTTCACTTGCTTTGTTTTCTTTGAATTTAACATTAAATCTTTCTTTATCCGTTGTCACCTCCAGAATCTAGCAGTTTTATTTTTTTTCCAGGAAACCTTCCTGTATTTGATCATTTATGCCAAAAGAATGCAGTTACCTGGTATACCAGTTGTTTATCCGTTAGTCTGTCAGCATGAACTTACGTGGCAAAATTGTGCTTCTAAAACATGCTCACTCCTGGTTTTCTTCTCTTCAAACTGATGTTATGATTTGGAGACCTTAGCGTTTCTACCTTCATATCTGATTCTTTTTGTTCTGTCTTACTGGTTTGACTGAAGAAAAGGTCAATAATTGAATTAGGTTGTTTCTAGCTTTTGGTGAACTGAAGGTTCTTATTTTTTTAACATAGCATCCCATTGAAGTCGTACTGGCTACCTTGTGGCCTCTAGATCCTGTCTTTCGAGCACTAAAAACAGATTTCCTATCTGTGCCTGCAACACATTTAACTTCTTTCTGAAACACATTTTCAGCTGTCTACTCATTTGCAGAGTGGAAGTGGCAGGTCTTGAGTAGAACAGAAGTTACAATCTTTTCTGGGTTCGGATTATTACCTCTACCTGAACACTCAAGGCGGTCTTCTTCTTTCTTGCCCTTCAGCGTACTGATTTTCTATGAATCCTGTCTTTGCCACTTTATTATTCCCAAAATAATTCATTTATTAAGCAAGTGTTTATTAAGTGTTTAATATGTGCCAGGCACTGTTCTAGGTGCTGGGGAAATAGGGTGAGCACCATATTCAAGCTCCCTCTTCACACAGAGCGTATATTCTAGGTAGGAAGATAAGCAGAACACAGTAAGTGCTATGAAAAAATAAAATGGGATACTATGATAAAGTGCGATTGTTGCTAACATACATAAGGCAGTTGTAGAAGGCCTCTTTTTAGGGGGCAGCATGTAAGCTGAGAATTGAATGAGCGGAATCCAGCCATTTGGGAATAAGAGGGAACAAACAACCCAGGTAAAATGGATGGTGGGTGTGAAGACAGGAAAGAGCCTGACAGGTAGACGTGGGTAGGTGATGCGGCTGGAGTTCTACCAGAACCAAGTGGTGAAGGCCTCGTGGGCCATGATGAGGACTTGGGAATTTATTCTGTGCACAGCAGGAAGCTATTGGAGCGTCTTACTTATACAGGGGAGTGTTATGGTCTGATGGATATTTCAAATGATCACCTGAGTGTTGTAGAGAATGGGAGTGGGCAGATACACTCACCAAAATAAAACTCGTGGTTAAAAAAATGTAATGCCAACCACAGGAAGAGAGAGCAAGGGTTCCTTCATACTTTCCCCCAGAAATGAAATGTGGCGGTCATAGAAAGTATTTCTGATTATGGGGCATCATCCTGAGCTATTCACCTACTCTGTCTGGACAGGTTCTGTATGCTCTGAGTGATGTCAGCAGTGGGGTTGCCCCTGCTTTGGAAAGGTCACCTTGTTCCAGGACAGAAGTTTATACCCATGGTACATATAGATAATCTGATACCTCATTTTAGTATTGTAAACAAAATTACATATCAAAATTTTGACGGTACAGAGATGTTAGCTGTGGTATGGCATCATTTTTTATTGCTCATACTCAGTTACTTAATTTTGGAAGTTGCCTTAATTTATATTTTCCATCAATTTTAATGCTTCAGTTAGCCGCCTCCAGAAAACCTTGCGAGTCCTCCTTGCCAGCAGTACTTACTGTTTCACACTAGGGGGCTCTGTTTGGGGTGCACTGCCTTGAAGTGTGTGCCTCATATTAACCTGAGACTCCAATCGAATTATGATGAAAAAGAAGAAAACTACTGTTAATTCTTAAGTTGATGCAGTATCCTTTCTATCCAGATTGCTTCAGTGTGTTTTTATTTTTAACTTAGTAATTCTTTCCTTACTGCACCTATTTTGTATGCCATGACTGGCACAGCAGAGAGAAAGACTGGAAAATAGAAAAAAGAGTCAAGTCCAAGCATAAAGTGATAAAGATTTATATTTAGGTGTTGGAGGAAGTTATGGCTTAAAAAAAAAAAAGAATGGGTATGTTGCCCACGAGCTTGCCTTGTCCTTCACGTTTTGATGCCTAAACCCTAAGGTGTCAAGCCTGAGCGGTAGGCACGGACGAGACTGCTGATGACGTCACTTAACACTGTAGGGGATGATGAGTTCAGCTGTGGACATGCTGGGTAGGTGCGTGGTGGGTACCCAAGTGAAGTTCTTCACTGAACTTCTAGGTGCCTAGGATTGAAATTGAGATGAGAGGTCAGAAGTATGGTTTTAAATTTGAGAGATTAAAAATAAAGGAGCCCTGGCCAGTGTGGCTCAGTTGGTTGGAGCGTCATCCTGTACTGAAAGGCTGTGTGTTCGATGACTGGTCTGGGCACATGCCAAAGTTGCTGATTCAATCCCTGGTGTGGGCGCATACAGGAGGCAACCAATTAATGTTTTTCTCTCACATGGATGTTTTTCTCTTCCCTTCCTCTTTCTCTAAAAGCAATGAAAAAATGTCCTTGGGTGAGGATAAAAGAAAAAATAAAATAAATGAAGGAGATAATGGAAATGGAGGCTATTGGAGAGAGAGTGGAAAAACCAGAATGGAAAGCTTCTTGAGGATGTTCTTCAATTTTTGTTCAGCAGTAGCATGGGCTACTAAGTATATAGTATGTAATGTGGCACATATGTCTGGAAAGATCACCTTCATTTTTTTCTTACATTAACTAAGTAAAATGACTGGCCCTTTATTAATTAATAATGTTTACTGGTAGAGTAATCAACACACAAACCTGCTAACAGGTGCTAACATGTAAGATTTTTGGCCAGGGGAATTTAGAGTTGGTAAAATAAGGCTACTAAAGGAAACTCACAGTTGCAGAAACTATAATACATAATGTATGTTAGCATATTTCCGATTTCTGTAGTTTTATTCATAAACATAACATTAAACCCCAGGTAGGGGAGTGTCAAAACACCCTCTAATTTACCTTTACCTTAGTGAGTCTAAATTCAGAAAAGTAGTAGAAATGGAAACCAGCTTTCAGGGATTAAAGAGAGACTAGATAGTGTGGGAAATGGAGGCCTTCTTTGAGTAAGTTTCAGACTAAAAGAAATAAAAATAATTCCTATGGTTTCTAGAGGTTGAGGAAGAGCCAGGAATAACCGGTTCTAAAAAGAGATAAGAATTCCCAGGATACGAGGAGGCAGAGGAAACGTGGAAAAGGTGCAGTATTAGATTATTTGTACGAGAAAGTTCTGCATATGCAGGATCTGTGCCGTGGGCAAGGGCATAGGCCATAGCTCTTGGAGAGGAGGAGGGTAAGGCTGATGATGCAGAAGAACATGGCTAGGATGGCCTCGACCCTTGAAGGTGTCATGAAAGTAAAGGACATCGAGTTCGGGGCTCTGAGAGAGCCGTAGGCTGGAGCGGCAGCTGCAGGGACTGTGCCAGGAAAGAGTGTGAAACAGTAAGAGACAGGCGGCTGCAGAGACCACGCTGAAATTGTGCGGCATTAATCTCTAGTGACTCAGGTCTAGAGCCAGGAGCCAAAGTGGGAACCTAAGGAGAGAAATCAATGGGTTAAGAACGTGAATGGGTGTTAACATAGGCATTAAAATAAATTAAAGAAGAGTCTAAACTGATAATGAAGCACTGATTATAAAGTTATTTCCAAAACTAGTTATCGGTAGCTCTTTGAAATAGATGGTTCACCACGGTCTTCGTTTCTAACTCAGAGTTTCTGTTAGAGCAAATATAAAATACAGTCTTTTGCCCATGAGGATATTAAATAAATCAATTCAGGTTAAAGATTTGATTTCTTATGTATTTTGACCCCTGGTTTCTGCAGTCCACAGCAGGAGCATCATTATTGGCTAATGCCTCACCTCTGACTCTCATGACATCACCTTTGTCTGTAACAAATCAAAATGTGACTCCTTTTGGGATGCTGGGTGGCCTTGTTCCAGTGACCATGCCCTTCCAGTTGCCCTTGGAGCTACTTGGCTTTGGAACGGACACAGCTGGAGTGACAACCACCTCGGGATCTACCTCAGCCGCTTTCCACCATAGCCTAACTCAGAGTAAGTGGGGCCCTTTTGTTTACTTGGCTACCTAGTTTGACAAACAGGAAATGAACTTTATACTACTGAAAATAGTCCAGCTGGAGTTAGTGACAATTTTAGAGTTTTTTTAAAGAAGAAATGCAATTTATTTTATTATGTATAAGTCAAATTACTGGACTCTGAGATTTTATTAATAATTTTTAAATGAACCACTATACCACATTTATCTCTTAATGGAATTTGTAAGAGGAGGTCAGATTTACTTGGTATTTGCATACACATATACATTTATATATGTAAGTTTGTAAACATGTATGTACTCTAGTTTAAGAAGGCCTATCAAGTGGGGCTGTGCTTGCTTTAGATAAGTTAAACTACTTTCAGTTTTGACCTAAGAGGACTCCAACCAGATTGAAGATCACTGACAAGTGTGTTTTCCTCTCAGATTTACTAAAGGGTTTACAGCCAGGAGCTCAGCATGCAGCAACACTTTCCCACTCACCTCTGCCTACACATTTACCGCAAACATTTAATGGTAAGAAAGCCACCTATTTCTTCCTCTCTTTGTTGTTTACGTAGCTCTAGAGATTGGGCTGGAAATGTTTTCTGAAAACAATGTGACCAGAATGACAGAGTTGTGGGGGGTGGGGGAGAGAACAGATTTTCATTTGACTGAATCCCATTAGCAACAAAGTCCTTTTAAGAGAAAGGAAATCAGTAAATGAGATCTCTCGTTAGATGTGAAGAGAGCAGTGTTGAAGGTATGGTAGTGATGACAAAGAACAGGATTTATAAGGCAATGGGCGCAAGTCATGTCCAGGAGTTGTAATAGTTTACATTTATGGAAACCTTACTAAGTGCCAGAGAGTCTTGTGACTGCTTACATGTATTAGCTAACTGAATCTTTACGAGAAGCATGTGAATGAGATAACAATCCCCATTTTCTAGATCAGGAAACTGAACTGGATATAAGCAGCTTGCCTGAGCTGATGCACTAAAGTGTTCAGTCTGAGACAGACTCAGGAAGTCTGACCCCACAGATGGTATTCTTAAACAGTAAAGTTTGCAGTCATTAAATTAATATGATCCAAACCGTGTACATTACATACGTGCAGCCCAAGTGGATCTTTCTGAAATTAGACAGTGGACACTGGACCTAACATGTTGGCTTCCAGGTTACATGTGGGCTCTCGCCAGCCGTTGACCTCAGTAGACTGCTCATGGTGTTCGGAAGGCCATTTTCAGAATCTTTGAACAGAAATTACTGCTCATAGGCCCTTCTAACTTTGGCAGTTGACTGGGGCCTCACTATTCTTTTCGGCCACTGCATTTCGGATTATCTTTGAACAAGGTGAAAGTTGGCCACCACGAGGGAATAGGGGCTGTGCGGCAATCAAGGCAGCCGGCTGCAGGGAACCCCGTAACAGACCTCAGTGGTGCGAATATAAAACCACAGCCGTGCAAATGCGGGGTGCAGAGTGGGCGCAAGTGTCGGCAGTCCTGATCTTCCTGAGCCAGGTTTTACTGCTTAAGGACAGTCACCCTGTGACTGGGGCAGCTGCTGGCCTGGCGAGTCCAGCTCAGGGCCTGGTGCGCACGGCAGGCTGGCGTGGACCTGGGAGCAGCGAGACAGACGGGGCTCTGTGGTCGGCGTGATCTGGTGCTCCAGCCTCATACGGGTTCTCTCGCCGTCTGGGCAGCACCGCTGTCCCAGAGGGAGACAGGAAATAGCACTCTCAGTATTTTCCATGTAATTGAAATGAAAAGTTTCTGACTTTTTATTTTAAAGACATTTAAAAGTGTGAGACGCTGAATTTAAGAATTAGGCCTGGATTTCCAGATTCCCACACTGCCACTTGGAGCAAGTTTCTTAACTTGTTTGACTTATCACTTTTTCTTGTAAACCGGGGACAACAAAATGCTGATAGGCTTCTTATAAGAACTTAATGAAAATAATTTATTTAAAGCTTTTATCATGGTACCTTTTACATAGTAAGAGTTCAATTAATGTTAATTGTCTGATTTTATCTAAAGACAGAGGTCAGTAAACATTTTTTTTATATAACGGCCCAAATAGTAAATATTTTAGGCTTTTTGCAGGCCATTTAGTCTCTTATCACAACTATTCAACTTTGTCTCTGTAGTGTAGTGAAAATAGCCATAGACATGTAACACGAGTGTGGCTGGGTTTCAATAAAACTTTATTTATAAAAACAGGTGGTGGGCCAGATTTGTCCCTTGGGGCAGACCTTGGTCTAAAGACTCATAGGTCCAGTTAATATGAGTATTTTATTTTGCTAATTAAGCAAAGCTTCTTTGAGCAAAATTTTACCTTGCCAATTTAAAAATTTAAATATGCCTCAAGTTAAATCACTTCTCTGTACAAATGCAAGTACATAAAATACCTCATTATCAGTGGGAAAGCCAATCCTTAGATGTTGTCACCAAAGCTATTTTAATAGTATTCTGTTTATATAGCTTTTAAAATAATCATCCTATTTTCTTGCTGTGTTTTCCTTAATGGAGGCAGTTTTTTGTTTTGTTTATGTTTTGCCAAATTAACTTAGATATCCCATGAGTGGACCTAGCAACATGACTTTTGTGCTCTCCTCCAGGCTTAACTGAAGTGCAGTCTAAGATTGTACTGTAGTACAGTATTTTGTTCTTTCTACCATGCCTCCCATCTTTTTCTGTTAAACGTGGCAGGGGGTGGGGTGGGGTCACATGTTCCTTGTTAAGGCAATGACCTGTTAGAGACTTCTTCTCTGTGTATATATTTGTGGCTTTCAAAGTCACTGGGTCCTACTCCTTCCCAGCTTAAATAGAGTAAGCAACATTTTCATAGTAAAAGTTAAATAGCCACAGGCAGAACTAGAAACCCCTGTTCCTAGTAGCAGACTTTCCTGTCACTTAAACTTCTGCAGGTTAGGACCAAAACAAATACTCAGCTGGATTTTTCACTACCAGTGTGCACCTTCATTAACATAAATAATCAAAAGTTAATTATAAAATACTATGTGCTGGCAAATTTAATTTTACTTAATATAAGTTGACCAAAGAATGAAATTGACCTTGTCTCATGAAGGAATCAAAGGTGGGGTATGTCTTGGAGATGGGGATTATGTCTTTTATGTTCCTGCGTAGCCCTCAGCATTTAGCATAATTGACTGTGAGGCAGATACAGTAAATACTTACAAAGTAGCATCTGTAGGACACTGAAAACCAATTGATCTATAGTCATTGGAGATAAGAGGGTCATTCTTGTTGAGTTTTTATCTCCTTTATGTTTTCTCAACCTCTATAATGCTCTATATAGCATGTTAGATATTAATTGTTATCTTTTTTAGCAATGTCACCCATATGAACATTAAAAGTTAATTATTCTTTTTGCTTTGTTTCTTTAATCTATTTTTTAATATCATGCCTACCCATACCAATTAAACATCTCTTTTCTTAGATGGAGGCCAAAGTAAAGGGGACACTAAATTACCACGGAAATCTCAGTGACTTCCCAACAAGCAAAGGAGATGAGACACTCAGCTGGCTGATGGAATCTACCTGATGGGAAAGTACTCATGTGGTCATAGGGCTGCTGTTCTGTCGATGTTTACATTCTCTCGTCCCAAGCACTGTGGTGAGGAGGAAAAAGAAAAGAAAACATTACTTGAGTTAAAGCCAGGTGCAGGAGGAAGAAATGATTTCTTGCAAAGTTAGTGACCTTTGGTCTCTTCTAAAGAAAGGCAGAGTTACCGTATTAACTGTCCTGAAAGAGACTCAGTTGTCAAACCCACAGAAGTACAAATTTGTTTTTTTCCCGGGGGGAGAACAAAAGAAATTGAGGATTTGGGTTAAACTCCATCCATCCTGGGGGTTGAATCTGAACACTCGTAGACATAATGGCATAATAAAAGGCAGTATATCTGGAATCAGGCCAGTTTGTCAGGAGTAAGGATCATGTCTATTTGAGTGGACTGTGGAGCAGATTTGCCACACAAAAAAATTAACGACTGTATGTCTGATACAGACCGTAGCTGAGAAAATAATATACCCTCAAAAATCCTGAACAAACTTGAATCTTCTCCAGTGCGTAGCAACTCGCCATGTAAATCAGTGGACTAAAGATGCTTCAGGAAAGTTATTTTAGCACAGTGATATATATTATTAAATCACCGAGATTTTTAAAAGTCAAGAAATGGAGCCTGTTGCTCTTACTAGACAAAACTTAGATACCCCCTTTTTGTAAAAGGGTCAATTTCATCTTCCATTCAGAAGCAGATACTTAACTCTCTTCTTCAGGTGATTTGTGCATCTGGTATTGACTGGTTAATTCTTATTTCCATTCTTGATGTTAAAATGTGACTGTGTTCACATTTTTTTCTTGAGAAATGGGGATCTTTGATGTAGGGCTGTGGCTTTGGTGCTCTTAGCCCTGGCAGGTCTACCACTATGGACTCAGTTTCCCCCAACTCTGCTCTTCTAGCTAGTGGTACTTCAGGTGACTATTACATACTGATAGAAACAGGTACCAGTGTGTATTACAGATGCTTCTTCATTGGTCATTCAAATAGCATATATATATATATATATATTTTTGGAATTTTTAAGATAGTATTTTAAAGGGAGAAATTGCATTAGAATCATGACGTGTACAAGGGATTATTTTTTATAACAATCACAGTGTACTTTTACTCCCTATATCCAGTGTAGTGAAGTTGACTGGGAGCATTTACTGATACTTACTCAGAATATTGATATGAGTAAACCTGCAGATTATAAGACTCCTAGTTATTATGGCTTCCTTATGCAAATAGCCTACTCACAAAGGATATTAAGGGAGAAATTTATGGTTTTGTTTAGATACATTTTATTTGAATTTTTTTTTTTTTTTTAACACCTCATCAGTCTAGTCTTTTTCTTTCTCTGTCTTTTCTTCCCCTTCTGATTTAGGCTTCTATGTACCCAAGAATGGTGTAAGCTTGGTTCATTTATGACAAGCTAACCCTAAACAACAGCAGCAGTTTGATAGTAGCAATACTTCTTAAGTATGTTTATGTTTTCATTATAAATCCCCCAATAACTGTTGATTCCAATAAAAGTACTAACCAGGCCCTTTTTTCCTTTTATAAGAAGAATTCCCAAATAGCCTATAGGACCGTGAGTAAATTAGCACAGAACTGTTCGATCTGTATACCTATATTTTGACTTCAAAGTTACATTGGCTTGCTTCATAGCAAAAAGTTAATAAATAACTGAAAACTTTAGTTCCAGGAACTTGTTACAATAAGGGCAAAAGATTATTTCAAAGGAATCATTGATACAGGTACTTGCCTCTAAGAATTTAGATTACCAGTACCAGTAAAACAAGTAAGGATACTGTGTCAACCCAGGTAAATATTTTAGGAGGGTATTAGGATGTTGCAGAGCAGTTTGACTTCAATTGAGTACGTTCAATTAAAATTTGTTTGGTTTTTTAATTAGGCAAGCTTACCCAGTTCTTGAGTTATTCCAGTATAGCATGCCTCTTGTTTTTATCTAATTTTGAGGGAAAAAAGTGGCTTCCCCTAATCCTGTGTAGGAGTTTCCCTTTGCGAAGCTAGCCTTTGTTTTACTTTCCGTGTCAGGGGAGAAGTCAGAGTGCAGGTTAACCTCTTCCTGCTGATAATGGTGCATGTATTCATTTGTCTGTGTGTATGTGTACATATTTTTATTCCTATATAACTTCATTACTAGTTTAAGTCAAGGAGTAATAATTTCAATTTCTTAATAAATCCATCAGTTTGGATTCATGCCATGTGAAGATCCATAATGATTCTGTCATCATTAGAGAACAGGATTATCCATTCTTCCTCCAATATCATTTTATAACTAACTATTAAAAATAATCTGAAGGCCCTTGGCTCTGAGAAGTCCATATATATGGAGATTATGTTCCGTTCTTGTTGGTCTTGATACCTTGGGACCTGCTGCCAGATCCCTACCTCACCCCCACCGCCACATTTTTACTAACCTACATCCATTTTGACCAAGACTACCCTTTTCCATGTTGTACAAAGGAAACAAACATCCTTATATTTCTTAATAGATAGGTATGATCAGCAACTTGCTACGTGTAAATACAAAACTATTTCTTTTCTAGACCATAACATTGAAAATGATGTCACCTCTCTTCACAGTTTTTCTTACTTAAAAACAAACACATAAATTGGTTTATTTTTTAGCACAGAGATTTGTGACTCATACTGTATTTTTTGCACTTATTTTTTAAAGTGGTGAGTAACTGAAAAGGATATAGAGCAATGTGTATTTCTGAAGAGCATTAGCAACATCCCAATGCAAAAATAATCAGCACACTTAATTAACGTCCCATTCAGCGGGATTCTTGATTCAGGAAAATTAAGCTGTTCGTTTTCAACTGTCTTGTATTTTAAACTGCCTTCACTGATGTATAAGCTGTTACTGTACATACAAGTTAATCCTCAGTATTCACAAGCAATAATGGGCGCAGAGTTGTCCTCCGAGACAGCAGCGCTGAGCCCCAGTTGGAGACTGTTTGGCAGCAAAGTGTCAAGCTCATTCAGAGCCTCCGAAATCAATGCGAGCAATAATTCCATTCTAAGTCAGTTATAACTCTTCACCTGTGCTGCTCAGATCAGAGAGTAAGAGAAATCATGGTTTTAGAACAGCCTGAAGAAAAAGGTTTTGGGAAAAGGAGTGAGGTTAATCCGCATTCACAAAGTCCTGGTACCCTGAGGACGGCGGAGGGCTGCGTCAGCACGCCTCTCACGCCCGCCACCCCTTCGATGGATGTTGTTAGCCCAAAGAGCATTTGGTGCCGTAGCAGTCGACTAGGGTTTGCTCTGTCACCGAGGCAGGAGGAAGAGCTGGGCACATACATGTTTGAAGACTGTGGGTTTGACACCTGTTTGAAACAACTTACTGGAAAAGATTTTTAACCTAGACTTTTTTTTCCCAAAGCAGATCTAAATCGTTTACTACCCAGGGTTGGGAAGGGCAGGCACCTCTAGTCTCTCTCCCCCTGTTGCGCTCTTCCGCCCCCTTTCCACCTCTACTTGGCTCAAGACATTTTCTGAAATGGAAATTCTACTGTTTTTCAAACTGCCATTGATTATGAGAACTCTATGTCATGTCCCTTGGGATCATCTCTTAGAACTCCAGTCACCTATCATATTTGCTGCTACATTTGTACAACGAACTTTGCCTGTATTGATCGACTTTAATTCACAGTTCTTTGTTTCTCAAAGGTTTTGTCATATAATTCGACCCATGTATAGAATAGGATACTTAATTTTAGGAGTGTACCATAAAAGCACACTGGTCCCTGTATTCTTTTTACCATCATTTAGGTTCTGAATTTGTGTTCGCTTGTTTTGTTTGTTGGTATTTGTTTTGTTTTGTTTTCAATTAGAACTAGAAGAGTGGGAATACCTGTAATCAGGCCAAACGCGAGACCTTCCCTGTGCGTCAGCACTGGTTTCTGCTGACCTGCCGGCCTCCGATGGGGCACTTTCACTTTCTGTTGTGCATGCGTGATTGTGTTTGTTTTGTTTTATTTTTGCTTTTTGGGGCTTTTGTTTTTGTAATAATGAAACTGAAGAAAAATGCAGTAGTAAGTAAATGATTACAAACATGTTATGCAATTTTATTTTATAAAATCTAAGGGGAAAAGTTTAACTCTGTAAATCGTTTCTTAGCTCCGGTAAAAATGCTTATATTGCTCCTCTAAAACATGCTCAATTCAGGCCTTCGTCTTTTTTAAGTGCCTTTTTTTCTTTCTCCCCCCCGCCCCCCACCCTTTTGAAGCTGTTCTCAGACACCCTAAAGTACAGGCTGATAGTCAGGGGTTCAGGAGGGAGAATCTCGCACCTGCCAACATCATGTCATGCTGTGACGTTCTTCCTTTCCTTTCTATGTATATGGGTATATGTGTAAGATACATACATATATATGTACATATATATGTATACATATGTAATATATATATAAAACTAGTAGCTGCTGTACCATTGCATCGTTTCTGAACACTCCCCTATCAGTGTTTGCAAGACTTCGGCCTTGTTTATTCCACTGCTTTTAGTTCATTCAAATGGATGGGTTGGGAATCATGGTATTGCATCTGAATATGTTTGCAAGGTGGTTAGCAACTTTGTCCATATTAAAAATGGGTCGTATTTTCTTCTGGGAAAGGAGTTTTGAGAAATTCATATAGCTGCATTGCCTATCTGTCAGAGATTAATAAGTTTAGAAGTAGAAAGACTTCAGATACTGGGGAAAACACTTACATAACCTATAGCATTATTGAGAGACCTTCAGTTTTCTTGTCATTTGCCAGATAATTACATTTGGCTTGATCTGCTTTTATGGTTATTTAGATTCCTCCCTTGAGCAAAATAACATAATTTTCGGTACCTAAGATTCATCCTTTCCTGTTGTTGTCGTTTGAAAACAGATGAGACATGTTAAGGGAGACTAAGTTGAACCAATCTTCAGAACCCAGTACAAATACCTAACAAGTGCCCCCTTTTAAATACATTTGACTTGGGAAGAGGAAACTGGTGGCCAAAAAGAGGGAGCAGAGGCCCCTGGTGGTGTTACCTGATGGCAGAGCTGTCGTGAGGCAGCCTCTGTTCAGTCGTGTTCCTCTTGAGTTACTGTGTTGGGGGAATGTCGTTTAACCTTCGTGCCTCAGATTACCCATGAGAATATTGGGTATAATAATATTCACCTACCTCCCAGGGATATCAGAGACTTGACTATTTCAAAAATACTTTGAGTTTTTCTAAAATATCCTATATAATCAAGAAAGTATTATCACCGTCCTGCAGAGGCTAAAGAATGGGTAGAAAAACACCATCTAATTTTTAAGTTTAAAAACAAATCACTGGAATTCTAATTGAGATACATATTTGTTATTTAAGCATATATTATATTATATTTGTGGTGGGGTAAAATGGTTACTTTGAGATTGATAAGAGGGAAATAGCACTACATTTCTTAATCACACATAGATTTTTTTTTTTTTTTTTAAGCCTTTTATGGTGTTATTACGAGTGATTTTTGCCAAGGTTGCGCAGCCAGGTAAAGTTTGGGTGATGGGGCATTGGAGTTGATAAATGATCCTGAAAGCTTTATCTGCCTCACTTTTCCATCTTCTCCTCTTATTTCCTTGTATTAGTTGTTTGGCAATGGATAGCTAAGCTTTTAACTGTCTTAAGAATGAATGGGAGCCGCCTCATTCTTGTAAATTGGAGGTCGTATACTGTTCCTGTAACTGTGGGTTGCTCCATCTCTGCAGGGCGCACTTCTAACCCGTCTGCCTTTGTGATTTCTGCTTCTTCTACCCATGAAAGAGTTGAAGCCGTCAGCT